AGTTGCAATCGAAAGAAATTAATCAAGAATGAGGATGCTCCTTTGTAAAATCGTTCTCTGCTTTATAAGGTAATTTTATGCGATTTTTTGAGTTGAAATAGTTAAAGAAATTAGTGGATTGTTGAAATTTCGAGAAGCACAAGTGACGGGAGAATTGAAACAAATGTTGTATTAACAAAACTATAAATATATCTGGAACAGCTATAACTATTAGTTATTACTACGCAGATTTATCGAAGCTGATTCAGCTGTGCGTGTTCTATAACTGGTAATACAACGAATAAGAGGAGATAAGACAAATATTTTTCACACACGAGGAAGTTCATTTCAAAATGTACGAATTTCGCTGCAAATTAATACTTCCGTTTGTATTTATTTGATAGTGAAGAACGTGCAATGAGGCTGGATACTCGTGAATGTTAAATTTCATAACTTCAGAAATCGTTGAAAATATTTCCCATTTAATATTCGAATTTTATTCTGCGTATTAAATTGCTACGAAATTAAATATTTCCCATTATACAGTACAATGAAATTCGTCATACGTGAATAACCCGTGCCACCTGTTTATAATAAAAGATCCTTGTATCGAATAAATTTAATAAAAAATTATTGTTCAGATTAAAAATGTTTAAGTGCGAAATATAAATGATAAAGTGTACAACGTAGGTATATAAACTACAAGATATATTAAAATTTGACAATATTTTACAAGTATACGTGAATAAATAAATAAATCATAAATGTACGCTATTTATGATAATTCGAATTTTTTGGATTTTTTAAAAATATTTATAATATATATAGTGTACACTCACTTTTGATTCACGCTGTATATTGAATCCCACAAATTCACTATTGTTACGTCTACACTATCGTGCATGAGTATCTGGACACTTATAAATTATCAAATTTAATTTTAACATATATTAAGTTAACAGATGAAAAGAATAAATAAGATAATTGACGGCTGTACAAAGTGATTTTATCTCTGTTCATCGTTGAAATTTGAAAACGATGTTTGCGGATTATTTTTATCAAAATTAACATTGATTACAGAGATTTATTTCTTTTAATTATTACTTCAATTTTAATGATTTGTATGTAGAATATTTCGACAGCTGCAGCGCTAAAATTGAACATGAAACCTGAAAATGCAGAAGATTAACAATAGAACTTGAATTTTCAATGGAATTGCATCAAGTGTCCGACTATTTATGCACGGTGATGTACACTGCAACGAACCCACGAAAACGTTTCAAAAACACCAGTAACGTGACGACACAACGACACGACACCGTGTTAAAACTTGATTGACGCGGTTGAAACTCGGGCTTGAAACGAAACTGCAGTATCGAAATTTGCTTCCTTTATTATATCACCGCATATAACTGCATCTGCCAGCGAGCAAGCATGCTGCTCGAGTTCCACAGCCAGGCCAGAAAATCCTATTGAAATTTCATCAAAGCCCGCGCCCAGCCATGGCGAAGCAGTCGAAACTTGCCGGCTTTCTGCTCGCCACGTGGTTGCTCGGCATCGTCGCCACTGAATCGAGAATAAGCGAGCCTGTGCACAGCTTGCACGAGCACGAGATCGTTTACCCCCGGGTGATCCCGGCTGAAAACGCGCGCAACAAACGATCGGCTCACGATCGAGGAACTCCGCTCGAAGACCTCGAAGAGCAACTGATATTCCTCGGCGTCAACAATTGGACTTTGAGGACCGTGGCGAACGATCGATTGACACTGTCGTCGAACTTCACTGTGAATTGGGTGCACAGCAGCGGCACGAAATTCGACGGATATCACGGCATGGTGGATTGCGATCTTCGACAGGGTGGCTTGACCGGTGACGAGAATTCGTTCGCCGTGGTGACGTTGTGCAAGGAGGAACTGTACGCGTTGGTGTTGATCGGTCAGAGATCGTTCTTCGTGCAGCCGCTGACGAATGGCCAGCACGTGATCTTCCAGTCGAGGGATGAACGGTGGTGGTCGGCTACGGAGAACTCGAATTTTGTCTCGGTGACTCCGGCGAATCCTCCACGCACAAGTGAGAATGATTTTTTAATTTTTAGTATGGGATAGTTTCTCTGGTAATTTCTTTCTCTGATTTCAAATTTCTCTTTTGTCATTTTTCATTGCGTATTATTACCATAATATAAAATATTTAATTTAAAAATGTTTTATTCAATTGTTTTTGATTCTGTTACCATTACAGAGGATTATTAAATTAAATGAATTTTAGCAAGTACTTTCCCACTTAAAATTTAGTATAACGTAAGACTATTGTAGTTATTTATGAGCCCAATGATTTTATTTAAGGATTAATTTAATACAGTAATTATAATAATTATAATACTATATTATATATATTACTATAATAAATATAATACTTATATTTATAGTAATTATAATACTTTTACACAGGGTAATGAAACTGCGGATTTTTATATATTTATAGAGAATTTTAAAATGCAGAAATATATATAACAAATATAACAAATATATATATATAATATTTATATTTATAGTAATTATAATATTTTTACACAGGGTAATGAAACTGCGGATTTTTATATATTTATAGAGAATTTT